TGCTAGCATTAAAAGCTTGAGCCAGCATGCTCACCCCTGTGGCCTCCAGTCTTACTCTCCTTTCATAATAGCAGCTGGACAGGCCCCCGCATGGATCTCACACCAGCCTCTGGTTCTCTAACACCCCGCCCCTTCCTGGGCGAGTGAGTGATTGTGAGACGTGGCCTCCACTTGGCTCCCTGGGCTCATGTCTAAGCTTCTTTATTGGACATTGTATTAAAGAACTTGAGAAGAGCCAGTTGGTGGTGGTGCACACCTTTAATCCCAGCACTCAGGAGGCAGAGGCAGGCGGATCTCTGTGAGTTCCAGACCAGCCTGGTCTACAGAGTGAGTTCCAGGACAGGCTCCAAAGGTACACAGAGAAACCCTGTCTCAAAAAAAAAAAAAAAAAAAATTAAAAAAAAAAATTAAAAAAAAGTGTTTTCCCATTTATTGATTTGTGTGTGGACACACACTCAAAAGTCAGAGGGCAACTTTTCGGGGGACACTCATGAAGCCCTACACATCCTTTATTTATTGAGATAGGCTTTCTCACTGGGACCTGGGGCCCCACAGCATTGAGATTAGCAAGCCACCACACCCAGGTTTTTGGTCCATGTCGGGGACAGAACTTGGGCCCTTGTGGCTTTACAGGCTCTCCTGTTTTATCCATGTCAACCCTGCCCTGTGCCCTCACACCCTGGACCACCCCTCCCCCCAAGTGCTCAGCTGTTGGGTTCGCAAATCCCTGTTGTCTCCCAGGTGTCTACTTCTGCCTTTCTTCTCTTCTAGAAAGATCCTCAGCAGGCCTTGAAGGAGCTGGCTAAGATGTGCATTTTAGCAGACTGCACCCTGGTCCTGGCCTGGAGGTAAGACACAGACCCCCCTCCCCCACACCTCACCTGCTGCACCAGCCCATCCAACCTGTGTAGGTAGTCCCTAAGCCAGGCATGGTGGCACAAGCCTACAATCCCAGCTCTGGGGACTCAAGGGGGGGGGGGCAAGAGTACAAGGCCAGCCGGGGCTTAAGGAGACCAGGGGCCCCCACCCCCATGGTGCCTGCTGTGAGCACTGCCTCTCTGAGCCTCAACATTCTCATGTGGAAGATGGGGTCTTCTCTAGTTTTTTGTTTTACTCTTCAAGACGGTTTCTCTGTGTAACAGTCCTGGAACTCCCTTTGTAGATGAGGCTGGCATCGAGCTCAAGAGGATCCCCCTGCCTCTGCTCCCCAAGTACCAGGGTTAAAGGTGTGCACCACCACTGCCCAGCACATTTTTTTTTTGTAGCATTCTAAGCACCAAGGCAGGTGACAGAGGTCAGATGTGTCCAGGTTAGACCAAATGATGGAAGGAATTCTGCATTTAGTGTTTCTGGTTTGTTCTGACTCCCAGAGTCTCCATAGCCGAGGCTGACCTAGAATACAGCAGTCTGCCTGCCTCGGCCTCCTAAGTGCTGGGATTGTGTGTGTACCCACACTGCTATCAGTATTGAGATCTATAGATGGCACACCAAGAGACCACAAATAGATAATAAAAAAAGACACTCTTCCTCACACCATAAGTAAGACTAAAGCCTGGCAAATTAATAGTGTTCATCTTAGAAAGAAACACTCAGTGTTTGCGAGCGCTGGCTTCCTGGCAGTAAGCCCTGGGTTCTATCCCTGCACGGCATAAACCCAGCATAGCGGCTCACGCCCGTGATTCCAGCACATGGGAAGTGGAGACGGAGGGTCAGAAGGGCAGCACAATCTTTACTAAGTAAGCAGTTCAAAGCCAGCACTGGATAATTGAGACCCTGTCAAAGAAAGAAATCTCAGGCTGGGTGTGATGGGGACATCTGTAATCTTAGCAGTAGGCTGAGGCAGGAGCATCAGTTCAAGGCCAGGCAGGGATACTTAGTGAGACCCTGTGGTGGTGGAGAAAAGGGAGATGGGGGGCGTGGTTCACTGGTAGAACACATGCTAGAATCCCCCAGTGAGGGGCTGGGGGTGTGGCTCAGTGGTAGAGCCCCTGCCTAGAATCCCCCAGTGAGGGGCTGGGGGCGTGACTCAGTGGTAGAGCCCCTGCCTAGAGTCCCCCAGTGAGGGGCTGGGGCGTGGCTCGGTGGTAGAGCTCCTGCCTAGAATCCCCCAGTGAGGGGCTGGGGCGTGGCTCAGTGGCAGAGTGTCTAGCTCTACAGTATCCTGGATTCCATCCCCAGCATGACTACCGTGTAAGATCCTACCCTGCAGGGCTCACTAGAGGACAGGAGTTGGGGCTGGGATTGTCTAGTTTTGGAGTTGTTAGCAGTCCCATGAAGGAGAGCCCTGAATGACAGCCCTCATCCCAGCTGGCCTGTGCCCCGTACCCAGTGCCGAGGAAGCAGGACGGTACTTGGAGACCTACAAGGCATATGAGCAGAAGCCGGCCGACCTCCTCATGGAGAAGCTGGAGCAGAACTTCCTGTCCCGGGTGAGACCGCCTCCCTTGTCCCTCTGCACCTCCTGACCCTGCGGTGGCTTGTCCCCTTCACAGCAAGTGCACGCACACTGTCGCCCTCCCTCCCTGTCCAGCCCTCCCCCATCCCCCTGACCTCTGACCTCCTGGCTTGTCCTCAGCATCCACCATTCCTCCCTCTGCTAGAACCACATTTCCCATGCCAGCTCTGCTGCTGCCTCCTCCAGGAAGCCGCCCTTCACCCGCTCAGCCTAGTAGCCCAGAGTGCCAGGCTGCAACCATCGTGACCCTATGACTGCAGCACCACCCAGCACTCGGGCCGCTTGGATGTTAATTTGTGAATGAATTGATTTCCAGTGCTAATGAGGCGCCCTGCATCTGTGTCTGGGAGTTTTCCTGAGCCACAGCGCCCACTAGCAGTTAAGGGCCTCCACAGCTGTACCCCTCTCCCCACACTGGACACACTGGCTCCATAACCCTCAGGGACGGTGCTCCCCTTCTCCCAAGGGAGAGAAGAGACTCACCGGACCCAGAGCCAGTATGACCTGGCCCTGCCCAAGCTACGGTGGCCCACGCCCTTAATCCCAGCACTAGAGAGGCAGGGGGATGTCCGTGAGTCCAGGCCAGCCTGGTCTAATTGCAGACCAGTCAGGCTTACATCTGGAGATCCTGTTGCAAAAAGTGAGTCATGCAAGGTGGGTGCTGGGAACTGAACTCGGGTCCTCTGGAAGGCTGATGTGTGCTCTTAGTCACTGAATCATCTCTCCAGCCCCCCTTTCTGTTTCTGGAGACAGCATCTCCCCGAGGCCCAGCAGCCCTGAAAATGGCTGCGGACCAGGCTGGCCTCAAACTTCCGGAACTCTCCCTGCAGCTGCCTTTTATGCAGTACTCACGGGCTGTGCTGGCCCCGATCCTAAGAAAACACCTGTCTCTTCCCACTCAGGCCACCGAGTGTCTGACCACTGTGAAGTCAGTCAACAGGACGGACAGCCAGACTCTCCTGGCTACATTTGGCGTAAGAGGCCCCCTGGGCATCCCCTCCCTCCCTCCGCACTGCCCCACACCTCCCCAGTGAGGTCCTGGGCTCCCTGCAGCAGGGACCGGCTGGAGTGTGGAGCCCACGGCCCCTGATCCCTCTGCCCCACCTTCCAGTCCCTGGAACAGCTCTTCACTGCATCACGGGAGGACCTGGCCTTGTGCCCCGGCCTGGGCCCCCAGAAGGTGAGAACTCTGGGGAGACACCACCGGGCGTGGGGGCGAGCCCCAAACCAATGAACCTTAGACCTTGAAGGGCTATTAGATCAGTGGCTCTCAACCTGAGGGTCACGACCCCTTTGGAGGTCAAATGACCCTTCCGTGGGGGTCACCTACCATCAGAAAATAGATATCTGCACTACGATTCATAACAGTAGCAAAGTGAGTTATAAAATAGCAATGAAAATAGTGTTGTGGTTGGGGTCACCACAGCATGGAGATCTGTATTAAAGGGCCACGGCATCGGGAAGGCTGAGGACCACTGTATTAAGTGGTTGTTTTTAGGCAGGCTCTGAATATAGAGCTCTAGCTGGCCTGGACCTCACTGTAGACCTGGCTGGGCCTGAACTCAGTTCCGCTGCCGTCATAGACCTGAGCCACCATGCTTGATTTAAACAGCCCCATAAAAGCTTTCTCCTGGGGGCTGAGAGCGTCACTCAGTGGGTAGAACACTTTCTTAGCATGCACAAATCCCGGACCAATCCCAGCACTGCCTAAACTAAGCGTGATGGGCACTCAGAACAGCCTGCGAGTCCTGGTTAAGTCCCGGTACTGGGATAAGGCTGGAGGATCTGAAGTTCAAAGTCACCTTGGCTAGCCGGGCCAGCCTAGGATACTGACACCGTGTCCCAAATATAAATAAGGTTTTGTTTGTTTCTCTTACTTGACTTTTTTGGGACTTTCTCATGCAGCTCAAGCTGGACCTAATGTGTGGCCCCAGCCTCCTAAGGGTGTGTATTCATTTATATGAAACAGTTTCTCTGCACAGCCCAGGCTGTCCTAGAACTCCCCCTGTAGGCCAGGCTGGTCTCGAACTCACAGAATTCCACCCGACCCTGCCTCCCGAGTGCTGGGATTAAAGGTGCGGTCACCACAGTGGGCTAGTTTTATGGTTCTAAATGGTCCTATTACGTCTGCTGCTCTCTCACACATGGGGAAACTGAGGCCCAAAGGATGAGAGAGCCCAGCCTCCTGGCCAGTCTCAACTAGAAGCCCAGGAGAAAAAGAGCCACACGGCGCTCTCGGCAAACAGCCTTTAATGACAAGCTCTTTTCTCTTCTCTCCCTGCCCTTAGGCCCGCAGGCTCTTTGACGTCCTCCATGAACCCTTCCTCAAAGTGCCCAGATGACCCTGCCACCGAGGCTCCAATGGCACAATAAAGCATTTCCAGGCCCGGGCTCCTACTGGATGTGCTGGCGTGTTCGCTGGAAGGGAAGGGCTCACCTCTCCTGTGCGGCTCATTTCTGACGGCCTTCCCGGGCCACCTCAGCCCTGCTAGTTCCTCAGTTTCCCCAGAGTGCTCTTTCTCCTGCCCGCGGTGTCCATCTCCCCGTGGGGAACGGCGGTTTACACCACACTTTCCCGGTCCTTCTTCTGCTTCTTTTTCTTTGTGGACCCTTGAACTGTCCTGGCCTCAGGCTCTCTGGGGTCAGTCATCTCAGATGGGGGCTCTATCGCCGTCTGTCCTTTCTCTTTCTTCTTGCTGGGTGCTGGAGCCACCTGGGGCTCAGAGTTAGCCGTGAGTGCAGCCCCTGTGGCCTCCGCCGCCAAGGCCAGTTCCTCACCCAGCCGCTTTTCCTTTTTCTTCTTTGCCTTCTTGGGGGACACAGGAGCTGCCTCGGCCTGAAGCCCATGCTCTGATGGTTCGGGCTCCGTGGCCACTCCAGGGAGCCCCGCCTCTGGCTCCATCACCAAATTCTGCCTCTTTACCTTTCTCCTCTTCTTTGTGGGGGACAGTGGGATGGCTTCCTCCTGGGGTTCCACAGTGACCTGTGACTGAGAGCCAGCCATGGTACCCTCGGCTGCCTCCATCCCTTCGGGCTCCTGCTGCCTCTTTCTCTTCTTGGTGGGGGACAGGGCGGTCCCATCAGGAGGCTGTGTTTCAGCCACAGATTCCGTGCTCCCCAGCTCCTCTTCCGGCTGGAATGTCTCTGCCCCCTTGGACCTGCTCTTCCTCTTCTTGTTGCTGGTGGCGGATGGGGATGGTAGTCCCAAAGGCGCCACCGCCTCTGCCATGGGCTCCGATGCCTCAGCCTCCATCATCTCTACCTCACCCGCCTGATGCTTCTTTTTCTTCTTCTTCCTCATTTCTAGGCCACCGCAGGGTGTGTCCCCCTCCACGACCCCGAGGCCGTTCAATGCCTCCTGAATGGCTGAGGCCTCTGCCAACTTTCTCTTCTTTTTCTTCTTCCCTGAAGTGGATGACCTCAGGGCCATGACTGACCCAGGCCCTGTGACCGGAGGGCTGCCTCCAAAGGCAGAGAACCGAGGCCTTAGGCCATCAGGGATCCCAGGTGGAAGGCTTGTGGGAATGGTCTGCAGAGGGACCCGAGAGATAAGGAATTCTTGAAGACCCTCCATGATCCTTAAGCTTCCATGGGGGGCCGGGGCGCAGGTGAGTTTTCCTCCTGCCTCTGTTGACGAGGCCAGCAAGGTGGCGTCTCCATCCTGGGGGCTGCTGGTAAGGACCCGGTATCGGCACCTCCTGCCATCCAGTTTGCCCTTAATGGTCTTTGAGCCAGAGAGAGGCACACGCCGCCCATTGAGGCTGAGGAGAGAAAAGGGGGAAGGCAGGAGCTGGCTAGATCCTTCCTTTGCCAGTGCAAAGCTGGGCTGGGAACAGCTGTTCTGGGCCGGGGTGCAGCTCAGCATTAGAGACTCCAGTTCCCTGTCACAACTAACCAATCAACTGCCATTGCGTGACACCCAGAACCCCTGACCAGCCTGCATCAACTCCCCCACCCCCAGCTACGGCAAACAGACGGGAATGTGCCACTGCTTGCTTGCTTTTTATTGCTTTGCTTTTTCAAGACAGGGTTTCTCTGTGCAGCGCTGGCTGTCCTAGAACCAGGCTGGCAGGAACTCAGAGATCCACCAGCCTCTGCTCCTGAGTGCTGGTTAAAGGTCTGTGCCGCCAGTGCCCGGCTCCTGGCTGGCTTCCTTCCTTCCTTCCTTTCTTCCCCCTGAGACAGGGTTTCTCTGTGTAGCCCAGTCTGTCCTGGAACTCGCTCTGCAGACCAGGCTGGCCTCGAACTCACAGAGACCCACCTGCCTCTGCCTCCCAAGTGCTGGGATTAAAGGCGTGCGCCACCACCTCCCAACCTGGCTGTTTCTTGAGACAGACTGTGTGAGGCTACCTTGGTACTCCCTTGCTCATGATGGCCTTGAAGCCCACCATTTTCCTGCCTCAGCCTCCTGAGTGCTGAGATTAAACCCAATCCGGATCATTACCAGCTAAGTAATGTTTAAGGTGGGCAGACAGGTGAGGATGAGGCTCAGGCGTGGAGTGTGTCTGGCATGAACGGGCCCTGGATTTGATCATTTGCACTACATAAAACTGGGCACAAAGGCTTTACTACTGAGGTGGAGGCCGGGGAACCTGAAGTTTAAATACTACACAGGACATAAGACTCAAGAAAGAAACTGAGGCTGGGGCATTCTGCGACTTAGAAACCAGCCTGGGCTACAGAAGGAGGCTGTTTCCAAAAAACACAAAGTAGCATTTCCGGGCTGCTCAGAAAAGCTAAGTTCTAGGTCCACGGTGTGGGTGGGCTCAGCATGTGGCGGGTTCAGCCTCTGGCGTGTGTGCGTGTGCGACTCCCAGTAGGGGACCTGGGACCACTCACCACTGTGGGGCGAAGTCTGCAGGGGCTCGGATAAGCCACAGTTCTGTATCTGGGAACGTCAGCGCCTCCAAGGAGAAACGAGGGGGATCCGAGTCCGCAGACACCGCAGTAAAGTTGGGGGGGCAGGAGAACCGAGCGGCAGCTGTGAGGAGACAGGTGTGGCCCTTTCGACACTGCCAACCTCTCAAGGAGTCGGAAGGTCCCAGCCGTCCCCTGCAGGGCCCCCTCCCCAGTCCCCTCTGCCCCCGGGCACCCTTCCCCTGCACCGGCTCCAGCTCCACTCACCCGAGGCCTGGAGACCCGCCATGCCAACTCTGCTCTGCGCTGCCCACCACGTGGACCCCGGAGGTGGAGTCGCACCCGGAAGCGTCCAAGTCGCGTGGGACAGTGGGGGCGTGGCCAGGCGCCCGTCACTCTATTCATGGAACCCGGCCGGTCTCCACCTTTGAACTGCGCACAGCGGAGGAATGACGAATTTTCCAGCCATCTACCACCGGGGGAAATCAATCCACTGTTTGTCGGGAATGCAAGCCAGGGCGGATCTCGGAGGGTCCGACCCCCCAACCTTGCTCACGTGGTTCCTTCCAACACAGTCTTAAAGGGGCAGTGACCCAGCCAGGCCACGGCTCTTAAAGAGACAGAAGGCCTATTGTGCAGACGTTGCTGCAAGGGCCAGGAGCGAATTCTGGTTGGCAGGCTTCTGCTATCAAAGCTTGAGTGTGTCTTGGGGAAAGCCCTGATGTGGCGGAAGCGGAAAGCTTGAGTGGACGAGGTCGGAAAACTAGAGAAGTGTGGGCAATCGGAGCATTTAAAGCACCAACGAGAGGCGGAGTTTCTGGAGTCCCGGGTAAGCGGGAAACCGAGGGGGAGGAGTCCTCGGGGTCAGGGGAGGCGTGTCGGTCCCCAGGGTCCCGAGCTTGGCTCCAAGCGGAGTGAAGGGTAGTGAGTGGGTCGTGTGGAACTCCTAGGTGACGCCGTGGTCCTAGCGTCCTGAGCGGGAGGGAAGTATTCCCCACCTCTGCCGACCCCTCCCTGCCCCGCGCGGCCCAAGTAAACAGCTGCACGTGGACGCGGGACCTGGGGGACGCGCCCACGCCCCTTCCCAGCAGAGCTGCAGCGCGTGGGGCGGCGGGTGGAGCTGCGGGACGGCGGCGAGACAGGGTGACCCGACTGCATTCCTGGCCGGTGTGTCAGCGTCGCGTCCCGCCCCCTCCGCGGGGATTTAGAAGACTCCTCCAGAGTTGGGGTGCTCCCTCTTCTCCTACGGCTTTCGAGAACTCAGAGGGGGCCATGCGGACAGGGAAGGGTTCCCTCCGCCGGGGACCTCCAGGCTACGTGTCCTCCGCGCGCCTAGGCTAGAGACTCGGGCTCGCCCTTTGATGCACAGAGGACCCGAGGGTGGCTGGCGGGGGGGGGGGGGGGGGGACTTCGCTCAGTAGTGATGCTGGGGATTGTAGTCCAGCCTGTTGCTAGGCACGCCAGTAAAGCGCCAGTGCGAGTTTTTGTGTTGTTTTGGTTTTGAGACGTGGTCTTACTATGTAGCCCAGGATAGCCTCGAACTCACAGATATGCCCCTGATTCTAAATTGCCGAGTGCTAGGATTAAAAGCCCCTTCATTTTTTAATTTAAGCATATAAACCGGGACTAGGAGACCTGATTAAGGTGGGTCGTGTAAATTTCTCCCCTCCTGGGAAACTGAGTCCGGAGGAGTGGGGAACTTAGGAGTTCTTCTCCTGCACTCACAGCGAAGTGGGGGTCTGGACTCCTGTGCATTTCACCGTCCAGGGCGCCCTCGATCTTCTTGTTCTCGTTCTTGCTGTGGGTGAAAAGGATCGCGCCTGACTCCTGAGTGCGCCCCGTCCCGCCCCTCCGGGACTACAAATCCCAAGATGCTTCAGGCGACCGCAGCTCTCCCTCCCCTGCAGTCAGCTCTCCCTCCCTCCAGTCAGAGTCACGTCGTCTAACCTGTTCCCCAGCGACTGCCCCGCCCCGTCCTCCGCTCCCCGCCGCCGGAGCCGGAGCCCGAGGAAAAGCCCCCCGGTGCCAGGATCTGCCCCGGACGCGTGAGTTCCACCCCACCTGGGGTCTAGCCACCCCAGAAGCTGACACCGCGTCCCTGGGAAGACCTCGGGGACCTTAGGTCCCGGAGCAAATGTGGGGCGCTCGCGCCTGGGTGCCTGGAAAGGGGGCCCGGGGGTGCAGGCTTCCCTGGGCAGGTGATGGGGGCTCTGACGCCTGCGACCTTAGGGGTGCTCGGAGCCTTTGGTCCTGGGAGCCATTGGAGAGGGAATTCGTGAATACTTTCACTGGGGACTCTCGCAAGGGTCGGGGGGGGGGATGCTGGGGTCTCGGTTCTCTGAGTTTTGGGTGAGTGTGGGGTGTTAGGGCGTTCTAGAATGGTTGGGCGCCCCATCGCCCTCCAGCTGCCTTCAGCACCTAGTCGCTAGGTCTTTGCGTCGTTAGTGGCGCTGAGTGAGTGGATCCTGATGTTTGAAGAGACAAGCGCGCGCGGCTGGGGTGGCGGTGGCGGTGGCGGTGGGGGTCCTTCAGGAGGCTGTGTCCCGACGCTACACACCACTTTCTGGTTTTGGGGTGGGGGCAGGGGATGAGAAACCGGGCCAGCTCTCCAACCTCTTCTGTGCCGCTGAGCGAACCCCAACATGTCATTAACCCGGGCGTCAGACCTGCCTAACCAGAGGAGGCACATCCGACCAAGGGCGCCCCCTAGCGGAGACGGGGTTGGCCCTCTTGTTGCCCCATTAGGGTGGGAAATAACTGGAGTTTGCCGAGGTCATTGTGGAGCCCGGGCCAAAATAACAGGACCGCAGGGGATGGGTCCTGGAGGCTTGCGTGACCCTGCACACCGCTGCATTTACACAGCATTTACGCCGAGGCTGGTGGGCATGCAGGCAGCTGCATTTGACATCTCCTTTCCTCTTGTGACAGCTGTCTATGGAAAGGGTGTCTTCACTCCCACCAGAGTCTTCCAATTAGCCTTCTTCCTCCCCGGGTGGGGTTCCCTGCTCTGACCCAGAGGTGAGAAATGTCACCTCCACCTCCATCTGTCTGACCTGAGCCATTGTGGGAGATAAGGGAGGGTTAGAAGCTAATTCTGGAGGTGTCTGTCCTTGAGCCTGGGAGAGGGCAGGGGCAGGCAGGCAATTCCCTCTCTCTCCACCTCTGGGCCCTTACTTATGTCAGGGATTAAGAAGTTGGGGCAGAGAGGGGACAAGGCTCTGAAGAGTGTGAGGGGTGAATGCCTGCGATAATACCGGTTGACAACCCTGAAATGAAATTCAAAAAACAATAGTCACAGCTGCCAACACAGACTGTGCTCTGCCAGGTTTGGGTCAGGATGGATCTCTCTGTCCACAGAAGCCTTTGGCAATCATCCAAAGGAAGGAACATCGAGTTCCACCTTCAGTGGAGTTTGTTGACCCTGGGGAGGACTCCTCCCTAACAACGGGGAAACTGAGGCCAGCAAGCCGGCACCACCCACACCCTGGGACCTTGCCAGTTTCTGTCTGGAATCTTCCAGGGTTCTCACCCTGCAGTACTCCTGAATTACTCAGGATAACCGCTGTTGCAGGTGGGAAATTTAGGGTCTTAGGTCCAACGGCTCAGGCAGTTGAGACCACACCAGCAACAGAACCCAGAGCTCTTAAGAAGGGATTGGCATGTGGGCACAGAGTGTAGAGTGCTGGCTCATCTGGCACGCAGGAATCCCTGGGGTTCAATCCCCAGAACTGAATAAAGCAGGCTGTCACGTTACATGTATGTCTAGCACTGGAGAGATGGGGGCAGGAAGACTGGAAATTTATGTCTAACATGGGTGCTGGGTGGTGGTGGCACATACCTCTAATCCCAGAACTTGGTGGGGGGGGGGGAATAAGCAGGCAGATCTCTGGATTCAAGGCTAGCCTGATCTACAGAGTTCCAGTATAGCTCAGACTACGTTAAGAGACCCGGTCTCAAAAACCACCCCCCCCCCAAAGAAAAAGAGAAAGAAAGAAAAGAAAAAGCATAGCATGTCAGAAATGCTGTCAGAAAAATACAAACCACTGTGGGCGTGGTGCTGCACACCTTTAATCCCAGCACTAGGGAGGCAGAGGCAGGCGGATCTCTGAGGCCAGCCTGGTCCTGGTCTACATAGATCCAGAGAAGCTAAGCCCACATGAACAAACCAACTAACGAAGAATCTCTGGGAGAATTGATGGAGGCTGGGTTTTTGTCCCTGGCTCTGAGTCTGCCCGTGTGTGGTTGATTCCCCCTGGCCTCAAGGAACTGAACCCAAGCCACAAGCAGGCTATATAAGCAAACTATTGCTGGGAGCTCTAGATTGAGACAGTGTCACTTAGCCCAGGGTGGCCTTGAACTAGAGATCCTCCTGCCTCAGTGTTGAGTGCTGGGATTGCAGACACTCACCTGTGTTATGCTGGGGAACCAAGGAGGAAGGCTGGTAGAATGAATAGCAGTCCAGGGTTGGAGACAATTGGTCCTTAAAGTGCACTGTTGTAAACACTATAATTTAGGTCTTCCCATGCCCACACCTCATTTGGGTGAAGGCATTGACTCCCCCCCCCCCCACACACACACACTATTCACATGAGCAAACAAGGGACAAAGGAGGCATCTGGGCTAGCAGACGCTTAGCTGGGGGAAGTCTAAGCCCATTCCACAGAGGCAAACATCAAGTCTGACCCGCCTAGAGTGAAGGATTACACTTTGGGTGTTCCCAACCCATCCCAGTGCCCTGACCTGGATCCCACAGACTCCTCCAGGAAGCCCAGAGGGATCCTTCGCCTCTGAGAATCTGGCTGGGGTGCAGAGGAGGCAGGCAAGGAAACTTAAGGGTGGAGGAGAGAGGGAAGCCAGTTGAATGGGAAGCAATAGAATTGGAGGGGAGCCCAAGGAACAGGAGCCTGGGAACAGAGGCTCTGCCCCGCCTGGCCCGTCCTGCTCCCTGGCCTGGGGAGCTATGCACCTGCCCGGGCCCGCCCCGCATTCCCAGGGCCTGAGCTCAACCATTGCGCCCGCGGGGGACGCGCGCCCCCTCGCGGTTGAGATGTTCCTAACACCCCCACCAGCACTGGGAGCAGCTCCGCAATCAGAAACCAGCTGATAATGATGCATTTACCAAAAGATCCTTTTCCTGTCGGGCATTGGGAAGGGAATTTCTGTCCTCTGGAAGAACAGGCTCTTCCCTGCAGAGCCATGTCTCAGCCCTCTGTGTACATAGGAGTGCTGGTACCTACAAATGTCGAGGCAGCAGCTGCAGCTGGTACATGCAGCTGGGAACTGGAACTC